TTTTTATTGTCCGTATTTACCTTCGGTTTGTTTTTAGTTTACTTTGTTTTAATTTGTACTCTCTCTCTCTCTCTCTCTCTTTGACTTTGCTTCATGTTTCCGCTTCTATATTTTTTTGTTTTTGTTTCCTCCCTACACCTTCTCACTCCATCTGTTTTGCACAATACGAAGTAAAATAAAGTGACTGTTTTTGTTGTTGTTTTTTTGGTGGTGACCAAAATGCGGCTGCTGACGCACAATTTTCTTTGCTGCCTCGAGTGTCAGTCCTTCCCACTGCAGCTTCGGGACGTGGAGGCGGAGGTGATGCCTTGCGAATTTGACTCGGCCTTTATTCGTTTGATGTTGGCCCGCATGGACTACAGTTTCATTCTAGGGGCGTTCAACGCTGTGAAGGAGCAACAGCGGGATCTCCTAGACTCCGCGAGGCGCCTACCGGAGACCTTGGAAGATGTTGATCTCTCCGACCAATCAGAGGACCTCAAGGCAATTCATCACGTTCTGCAGGAGGTGGCTGTGCGACAAGGGATACTTGTGTGCCCACAGTGCCAGCGGGAATACCCGATTCGGGACTTCATTCCGGACATGGTGCTTGAAGGCAAGTAAGAGGAATCCTATTATCCGTATGCCGGTTTCTGTATGTGTGCTGGAAGGGGCAGGGATGCACTTTTATCCCTTTCTGGCAACTGGAGTGTGCGATTAATTGTGCTGGTGTTTCTAAGTAGAAGTGAGCCGCGTTCTGGAGGTGTGTGTGTGCGCGCGTGTAAGGTAATGGAACGACGGCGCGCCGCGCGCACTCTGGGTCCTCACTTTGTCTCCTCCATGTGTTAAAATATCTCTCCCTTTTCATATTGAGTCGACATCGCTTTAATTATTATCATTATTTTTGTAAGTGATAGTGATGTATCGAAAGCAGCTGCGTGAAACGACGCTGCTGGATCGTGTGCACGAGCACGTTGTGCTGCCACCTATCGTCCTGCAAGCGGTGGACACGGCGGCGTTTCAACGATTGCGCTCCCTGAAGCAGCTTGGTGCCTCCTCATTTCTTTACCCTGGGGCCGTGCACACGCGCTTTGAGCACTCTATCGGTGTGGCGCATATGGCGCGGCACCTTCTAATGAGCATCAAACGCCGCCAACCTGACTTGGGCATTGGCGACAATGACATTGACAAGGCGATGCTCGCAGGTCTTTTTCACGACATTGGGCACGGCCCATTCTCACACCTCTTTGAAGACGTCATTACAACGCGCTGTGGTGTACCATTTAATCATGAGGACATGTCAGAACGTATCACGCGGCGAGTGCTGAGGACGTTCCTCCCTCTTGATGACGTGGAAGACGTTATTGGTCTTATGCGAGGCCGCTGCAGCCTGGCAATGAAGTACGGAGAAATAATTAGCAATAAACGTAGCGGTATTGACGTAGACAAGCTTGATTACTTCATGCGGGACTCACTCTGCTGCTTTGGGAAACCGACGGTGGATGTGCGTGTTAATCGCCTCTTCAACTCCGCACGTTTAGTGTGTGACGGCGGACAGTGGCAGCTTGCATTTGAGGAGAAGCTGGCGCTTTCACTGCGTGAGCTCTTTACACTGCGTGCGAAGCTTCACAAAAATGTTTATCAGCACTACGTTGTCAAGGCAATTGGACATATGATTGGAGACATTTTTAATTTGGCTGCGCCACATTTTATGGTAGGAGGCCATACGCTCCTTGAGTGTGCCACGGAGGAGGCGCTGCTGTTGAAACTGGGTGACTGGGTGCTGGAGGCAATTGAAAGTAGCTCCGATGAAGCGTTGCAGTCGGCACGCGAACTTATTGCCCGCCTTCGCGCACGCGACATTTATCGCCTGGTCTTCTCTCGAACCCTTGACCCTGATGTAGAGCTCTCACCAGGGTGGGTGAAGCAACTGTCGACGGGGATCCTCGCCTGTGCATCGGTGTCACGGCACTTCACTGCATCGGACTTTATTGCAGATCTGGTGATCATTCATCAGGGCAAGGGACGAAGCGACCCCCTGCAGAGCGTTCTCTTTTTTAACCCAAAGCGGCCGTCTCAGCCGCTGTCGAAGATGTCGTCCGACGCACGCTACAGCCCACTCTTCACGCCGTTCGCCTTTGAGGAACGCACGTTGATGGTGTTTGAGCGGCGTAATACTGAGGGTGCCGTTCGCGCGGCATGCGAGCGACTAGTTGCAGACGAATGGTACCGCCGCTTCTTTGTTGAAACTCTGCCCTTTTACAATCAGTCTTGAAGCTCATTCGGGTGGCGAGATTTTTGGGATTACGCTTACCGTTTACCCACGTCTGGTTGTTGCTGTTGTTTCTCTATCTATCTATCTCTCTCTGCTCTCATGCGCAGACGCACCCCGTCCATGAGTACTTACCGATCTGTGTCTAATGTGTATAATAAATATGTTAGTACATATTGGACTGACTTTTTAATAATGATGGTGATGTTGTTGTTTTTTTTTCTTTTTGTTGTAATCGTATTTGTTTCAATCTGCGTAAGGGTGAGTGGTGTGTGCGCGGCTCGTATGTAGCGATGCGGGCAACGTCGCTTTTGCGCGTACGCCTCCCAAAGGCTCGTCGGCCACGTGAACGACCGTGGGATATTTTCAATACGCGTGAATTTGGCTTTAGTGAGGGGTCGCAGAACTACAGCATGTGGCTTCTTACCGCCTCGACCTATGCGACACTGCTTCTGTTCGAAAGCTGTCAGCAGATGCTGCGTATCTTGGTGCGTGGCGACACGTGTTCTGCCTGCGACGCGGCACGTGAACATTATAGACAGCGCGTTGCTGAAAAGGAACGTGAGATGCAGGAGGCATTCCGCCGTAGTGGTCACGCATGAGAACAGCGACTCTTCTTTGCGCGTGTGTCTATTTGCCTTCAGTACGGATCTGACAGCGGTGGTGGTGAGGAACGTGTGACTCACGCATGCTGCGCCTCTTCTCTTAACCTTGTGTTTTTTCATCTCAGCACGTGTACGGCCTGTCGTGTATACGCACTGCCTTCCTTGCCTTATTGTTTGTTAACAGAGTTACCACGGACATCAGGCCAAAGGAAGAAGGAAGGAACGAAGGAAACAAGAAACAAAAAAACAAACAAACAAACACACACAAAATAAATACACACAAACGCATCACCAATGATTGAGGACCACATGGAGTACAAGTATTGTCACCCAAAGAAGCTGGCAGACTCCACGCTAACGCTCCCGCGGCAGGGAGTGAAGGAGCAGCAGTGGTCCCCCTATGCGGACAACGGCGGCACGATCGCCGCTATTGCTGGTAGCAATTACGTTATTCTGGGCGGGGACACGCGCCTGAATGGTGACTTCTGCATTCACACTCGTGACGACCGCTCCAAGTTGTTTCAGCTCACTGAACGTACATTTCTCGCGTCAACAGGTATGCAAGCAGACCGTCTTCAGCTTCAGCAGATGTTGAAGTATCGTATCCAGTGGTACCAGTACAACAACGGCGGAAAGGTGCCTTCCACAAAGGCCATTGCCAAACTCACCTCCACTATGTTGTATCAGCGACGCTTTTTCCCGTACTACACTTTTAATATGATTGCCGGACTTGACGAAACTGGTGCTGGTGTGTGCTACAGCTATGACCCTGTGGGATCGACAGAACCCTTTCGCTACGGTACCTCCGGCTCCGCCAGTAGCTTCGTGGAGCCGCTCATGGACTGTCTGCTGACGCGCCAGCACATGGTGCGACAGGTCCCGGCTGAGCTCAGCATGGAGGAGACTCTTGAAATGCTTAAGAACGCCTTCACTGGAGCGGCTGAACGTGACATTTTTACGGGTGACGCAGTATGCTTCCACATCATCAAGGCGGATGGTATTTGGACTGAGCTGTTTGAGCTACGCAAAGACTGAGAGAGGGAGAGAGAAAGGAGGACACTGGAGATCGTGTGATTATGATGGAAACTTATATATATGAGGGAATAAGCTATGAAGACAATTGGTTGGAAAAAATATTCGTTGCGTCAAAATATGAGATCTTCCTCTTTGTTTCTATCTTGGTTGCTTCATTCCTCCTCTCCCTCTCGCATTATTTTCCTTTGACGACAACTCACGGACTTCCCTGTCCACGCGCCTGCGGCAGATTCGAACTAGAAAATATCCATAACTAACTTTGTACGTTTGCCTGTACTGTGTGGAAACGTATCACCGTCTTCCTTTCTTCCCGCCTCTCACTCTTGTTACTTGCTCAGCAGGAAAGAACTATTTAGAGCGAAAACGGCCTCTGAACAAGGGGGTGGGTCTGCGTGAGTGGGCAGCAGTCAGCAACGCGCCACCGAGGATCTACACATACGTTCACGCGGAGAGAAAAAAGAAGGATACAAAAGAAGGAAAATACGTTGGGGGAGGCTGAAGAATAGAGACTTATCTAAGGTGAGGCAGGATTGTTGTGCCACGTATGAGTAAGAGTGTTGTGCGGTTCCACGATGTACATGAGGTGCCGTACGGTGCTTTCAGCCCACTGTCACCGCATCCAGTAGTTATTCGTCATAAACAATACCCATCTGTGCATCACTACTTCCTTACTGAGCGATTTCGTGACACACCAGCGGCAGCGGCGTTGCGGTCGGCAACGTCTGTTTGGGAGTTGGACCGTCTCGTGAAGGAAGCAGAGCGAACCAGCAGCCAACGTGACGACTGGAACCGGGTGAAGGTTGATGTCATGCTGCTTGGTAACTACATGAAATTTAAGCAAAATGATACTGTACGAAACCTCCTCTTGGAGACAGGCGACAAACTTATTGTTGACCACACAACATCCGATGACTTTTGGGGCGACCGTGGTGACGGAACGGGGAAAAATCTTCTTGGGGTTATTCTCATGGCAGTGAGGGACAGATTGCGTCGTGAGACAGCCTCTAAAACGCGTAACAAATGAAGACGTTATCTTCTCCACACCGTCAGTGCAAGCATGCATGCATGTACATATAGTGACTGCGCGTATACATATATATATATATACACACACCAGGAGTGAACTTCACCTCTCTCATCGATTTTTTTTTCTTTGCTTTAATTGAGGGCGACGCTGAGGAGACTTTACTCCCCCCCTCCCCCCCACACACAAGCACCTTTTTTATGTTGAACTCTTCCCTTACCTCATCTCGTATTCCCTGTCTGCTGGCGTCTCTAGGCGTTGCTGCTGGTGTTCCTTAATGAGTGCCATTCCTCTGTTTATTTGTTTTTTTCCCCCGTTTTCTTTATTTTACACCATTTACAGAATTTACCAAGTCTCCTACAGTTTTTCATTCATGCGATATTTGCTTCTTCCAACGGTTACGCTGCTGCTACTACTGCTCTCTGTGGTAGGTGGTGGGCGGGCGGAACCGACAGTGACGGAAAAGGTGTACTTCGATGTCACTATCGGTGACAAGCCGGTGGGTCGCATTGTGATTGGCCTGTTCGGCAATGATGTGCCCAAAACAGTTCGGAATTTCAAGCAGCTTGCAACTGGCGAGAACGGCTTTGGCTACAAGGGCTCCATCTTCCACCGTGTCATCCGTAAATTCATGATCCAAGGCGGTGACTTCACGAATTTTGACGGGACGGGGGGGAAGTCTATTTATGGTCCGCGCTTTGATGACGAGAACATGAACATCAAGCACTTCGTGGGCGCCGTCTCCATGGCGAACGCCGGACCCAACTCGAACGGCTCACAGTTCTTTGTGACCACGGCCCCCACACCCTGGCTTGACGGCCGGCACGTTGTCTTTGGAAAAGTTGTCGATGGCATGGACGTTGTGAAGAAGGTGGAAGACACCGAGACAGGCCGCAACGACAGGCCGAAGAAAACTGTGAAGATTGCTGACTGTGGCGTGCTGTAAGCAAAACATTGAAGACAACGTAGGAAGTAATTGCCAATGCGGATGTGAACATCCACGTACACACACGCACACCCGCCAGTCTGTAGGCGCGCGACTACGGTGTTATGGTTTGAAGGAATAATTTACAACAATAAGAAGGGGTGAAAAAAAGAACAACAACAACAACGGAGCAGGGGAGGGGAGAGCAGGCGGAAAACGCATGGAAGAGACAGTAGGCGGCGTTACCTTTTGGTGTGAGTGTACGTTGTTGTTGTTGTTGTTTGTTTGTTTGTTTTTGCAGGGGGGGGGGGCTCGTGTAGTTGTACACTCGCGTCCTTTTTTATTTATTTTTTTCTCTTGTTTATCCACATGTACTGAACTCCAGCAAGGATACGCGTACTTGGATTGAGAGTAGGATAGATGCGCCTATCGTACAGTGAACAGCTGATTGAGCTCGATCAGCAGCGGCGAACGAAGGCATACGGGAGGGATGCAAAACGCTTTCATCTTAAGCTTGCTACCTTCACCAGTGCGCTGTTGTACTTGGCGGCACGTGTTGAGGCGTGGATGCACCCTCGGTCAGTTTCACACACTTGGGTGGATAATGTGCTTGTGGAAGTTGTTGAAGACGATAAATTGGAGCGCGTTTGCAGCATTCTCGGATGCGTCTTTGCGGCCTCTTTGTTTTTGCTGGTCTTTCTGACTATACGAGGCGGTGTGCGTCGCAACTCGTCGCGCTCTGCACGTGGTCCTCGCGCTGCTGGGGACAGCAGCCACAGGGCAAAGGGGTGGTCTGCACCCTTCTCGTCGATCGCTGTACCCGCATCAACGCTGTTTGGGGGTTTGCCAAAAGTGGATGTTCCCCCCACTACTGCAGCTGGTGGCTCACAGCAGTTGCGACTTCACCAACATCACTCACTTCAACAGCAGCAGTCGATTCGCTCGGAGGCGGAGCTGAAACGCTTTCTCTCCTCGAAGGAATTGGCTACTGACAAGGGCGGTGAGGCCCCGCTGCCTGCTGTTGCAGCGGCCGCTGCTTCTACGGCAACGCTTTCCGCCCCCGCCGTCACTTCATCGTCCGCCGGTGGAGGAACTGCGTTTAGTGGGCCATTGGTGGGGGCCGCCGTCGCAGTGGGGCCCTCAGATGGTATTCGCGTACAGTACCTTGGTGGCGCCGAGAAGCAGACTGCAGCGCAGCCTGTAGAGACAGAGTGGACTGGTCTAGGCATTCTTAGTGCTGAGCGCTCACTCCTCAAGGCGCGCAAGTGGCTCTCCGATCTCTGCCAAGAGCTGGCGGAAGAGACAGCCGTCTGCGACCGCTGGTTCGCGGAACGTCAGATCAGTTCCTTTGACACAATGCATTGTCTGCAAGAGACTGTCCCCTTACCTCGGCCATCTGCCCCAGCGAGACTCGGTGTTGGTGTCACAAATCTGCTGGCCTCGACAACACCGACGGTTCTGCGCAAACGTGACGCTCTTTTGAACGAGCGTCAGAAGCTTGCAGGTCAGGCACAAAATGTGCAAAATTTTGACGCCATCCTTCACCTTGACCAACGCCTTTCACTGGAGGCGAAACTCGATCCATCCGGTACTTTTCCCTCTGCGTCGCCTCTTTCGGTAGCGGAGCAGCAGGCACAACGGCAGTACATCGTCAAGCGACTGCGTTCCTTTGCGTCCCAGAAGACGCTCGCCTCATATAGACATAACCACGGTGATGCGGATCTTTGGCACGACGGCTTCCCCACCGACGCCCACTTGCTGATTCACATTGTTCGCGCCTGCGTCGATGGGTTTGCCAACTACGTGAAGTTCCCACACCAGCCGATGAACCCGCAGGCAGGCCTAGCGATATTTGTTGGGGACACTGGGGAACCGTACTTTTACGTGCGGTATCGTAGTGGAGCGAATGACAAGACGTACGCGACACATCAGGGAGTAAACTCCCTCTTTGAGGCGGTGCTGATCTTCGCGGCAATCGTGCGCGCGTACCACAATGACTCGTACGGTGGCATCTGGGGCGTCATGGATTTATCCCGCACAGGTCTGCTGAGTGTGTTGTAGGCACCCCGTTCACGTGATGTGCCATGTTTGGAAGGGAGAGGAAAGAGGTCGATGGAATCTCAAGAAGGGGAGCGAAGACACACAACAAATTTTACTCCCCCTTTCAATACAGTTCTGGGCAATTTTTTTTATTAAAGGAAGAATCTCTCCCGTTATCATCATATGCATCTATGTATCTCTTTCTTTTTTTTGTTCTGCGTGGAAAATTGACACCATAATGCGATGTCTCCGTCGTGGTCCCTTGTTACTGTTCCTCTCCTTTTTCCTTGTATTGTATCACACAGACTGAGAAGGCAGAGTTGTGTCGATGGTGAGTGACACCAGCAAGAGCACCGTCAGTGGATTAAAACGAAACACAGAGACACACAAAGTACCTCATACACATACCATTAACAAAAAGTTGAAAGGTGTTACACGAGTGTGTAGTTCTCCCATTCCCAGTCATGTACTCAACGCGTAGATCTTTGAGGTGGAGGGCATGGCGGAGTTGGACTTTGTGCTTCGCGACATGGCAGCAAACGACGCCAACTAACGCGAGTGCATTGCCAACTACCAATGGCTAAACGCGGCAGAAAAGCCGCAATTCCGTTTTGGCGACCCTATTGTGAGTCGAGTGTGTGTACTTGTGCAGTGGATTGGGCACGACGGCGTGGAGACTAGCGCGTGGAAGCTGGCCGTGTTGTTGTGTGCGTGCAGTAAGACAATGCACCTTGAGTATCACGTGTGCCGGAGCCGCATTGTGAGTGGTAATGGTCACCGTGTGTAGGGTGTGTTGCAGTCTGTTTGCAATTGCAGGCTCATCACACTCTCTATCCCGCTTCTCCTGGGGGAGGAGGCGCGTGTACGGCGTTAACTGTCAAACGTGCTGGAGATTTGCGCGAAGGTGTTGCAACTGCACCTTGGTACCCTTTCACAATTGTCGCGTGTGAAGTTCGCACTTATCATGACGTGCTGCGCTGAGAGCTGCGATGCGCCGGTGAAGGTGTTGTCGGGGTGTATGTCAGTGCACCAGAAAGATACGAACGCCCCCTCTAATATTTCCTTCACGTCCCTTATTAGCAGCGGCGTGGGATTCCGACGATTGCCGCGGTACTCATTGACGCTGCAGCGCAGCGCAGGGCTTATGGATTGCATTCCGTTGCTTGAGCAGGCACTTTTTTTATTTTTAGTTTTTGCGGGGGCCGCTGCATTTTCTCTAAGTGGCCTGTGCCTTGTCATCTCTCTTCGTCCAGCCCATTGGTGTCAACGTCGCAACAAATGGTCCCACAGGGGACACGAGCGGTGAGGAGGCGTTGGTGGGTAGCGCCACCTTTTTGTGTTGTAGATGATGCCACGTAGTTTAGCTTTTGCATCTGTGTGCGTTGTTACAATGGCGGGACACTGTATCTGCGGGCACCACTCCAAGTCAATACACAGGCGGCGCCTCACAGGTGTCTCCGTCGCGGAGGAAGCTGCAGTACTCGGAGGAGATGGAGCGGCTGGCTAAAAAAAAAAAAAACTGCGGCAGTGAAGAGTTCCTGGAGTTGTTGATACTCTGCGACGCCATTGAGCGCGTCTCCTTCGCGGCCATTGAATTCCTCATCTCTACATGCCAGTAAGTTTGTGACAGCCATTTTATTCCTGTTTTTTTTTTTTATTGTGTGCTCGTGTTTTTTTTTCTTTTTCCAGTTACATTCGTCTGCTGCAGTGTCACGCAGGGAAGGAACCGCGCAGCAAAGTGTCTTGCGTGTGTATTGCATGAATTGGCGGTGCGTTTAAATCCTTCTTCTGCTGCTGCTGCTGCTGCCAGTCTTTCTTTCTCTTCTGCGTGGCGTGGCTACAGTGGCTAGGAGGAGATGAGCGATGAAGTGAGCGAGCTGGGACCGCCCTCCCAGACCGATGCTGAACTCTCTACAAAGACAATTATGGAGCAGCAGCGCGTCATCAGCACCCTTCGCGAGATGGTTGCGGCTATGAAGACCCGGATATCCACGCTAGAAGCTGCCGCCTCCACGGAAAGGGCACAGCCCGCTAACACCGTGACTGGGAGTCACCTGAGTGAAGTTTCTTTCTACCAAGAAGAGGTTGAGCGCCTTAGCCGCTTAGTGGCGCTGTTAATTAGAGAACGCGACGCGGCAATGGCGAAGTGCGCGACGTTGGAGGCTGCTGTGAAGCAGAGGGATGCGCGGGTGGCAGAGGTTCTTGCGTGCTGCAAACGGTTGCAGAAGATGGAGGCGGACTGGCGCACAACACGCGTTCGTTTGAACTTTACCGATTCGTGTTACAAGGATGCGGAGCTACAGTGTAGTCAGCTGAAGGAGGAGATGGACGCCCTGTCATTTGAGCGAACGCGCTGGAGGGCGTTTGCGGTGTCCATTGCAAACCGACTTGACGCCGTATCGCGGGAACGGACGCTTATGCACATGAACCTATTAGAGCGTGAGGAGCGCATGCGCACGTCAGAGCGCGTAACAGCGTCGCCAAGCAGCAAGGTCAATAAAACAGCAGCTGTTAACTCTGAGGAGGCGGCACGTTTGCCACCATTTGATCCTACAGAACTGACGACCGCGTGGGGTACGCGGCAAACAACCCTGTTGCCGTCACTTGCGCGTGGAGGTGCGGGCGAAAAGGCCGCTATGCGCTCCTCACCAGCAACGCGGTCTATAGCTGTGGCCATGCGGCGCAAAAAAGGCCGTTATTTGCTTCCGTTGTAGCTGGGAAGATAAACACAGAGACAGCGATGACGATAATGTACAAAATTGTCAATTTGCCGATGAATATATATATATATATATCTGGGAAAAAAAGTGAAGGAGGTATGGTTCCTTTTCCACAAACGTGCAATGATGTAAGCTGCATGCGTGACTTTCAAACCTATGTATGTATTTGTTTGTCATTATTATTTCTTCTTATAATTTTTTCAACTATACTTTTAGACCATATCCCGCAGGACCGAGTACTACACGGTAGCGGTCATGGCGGCTTCGAATGACCCACATATCCGTGTGTCATCCAGTGGCGTGTATGTGAAGCAGGCACCTGCACGGCCAATGTCAACGGAAGCCAACTACAATGCCACCACACAAGGCAGTGGGGTGAAGAGTGGCCGAAGTCGACGCTACACGCACAATCCGTACGCGTCGCAGTTAGCAACCCCCTCGTGCAGCTCCACAAACACCTCACGGCAGATGAACTCCTCCAACAATAGCTGTGATAGCTCCATGCAGTGCCACAACAATTGCGTTGCACGGGAGACAGGTGGGACAGAATTGCTTCTCGTGAACAGCAGTTTACTGGAGCAATTTCTCGGTGTTGTAGGGAACATCACAAGGACGGCGTGCACGGTGGCTGGTCGCCATCTTTTGGTATCGGTCCTTCGGCTGCAGCATATGGACAAGGTACAGATTATTATTGACGAGCTTCTTCCGCAGCTCAACATTGTTGCGCTTGACCCGCAAGGGTGTCACGTCGTGCGTACACTCATTGAAAGTGCCTCGACAGAACTTATAGAAACGATTTTGCCACACTTTACACCAGAAACAATACTTGAACTGGCTGTTAACTCACAACACACTCGTCGTGTTGTGCAAAGCATCTTTGAACGCCATAAGAGCGAATCACTCACACCAATTGTGACAATGATTGCACAACGCAGCCAGCAACTGGCAGTATCACAACAGGGATGCATTGCTGTCATACGCACCATTGAAAATACCCTACCACACCAGCAGCGTTCTGTTATCTCGATGCTGCTGCCAGTGCTACCAAGCCTCACGATGAACTGTTATGGCAATTACGTGGTACAGTGTATTTTGCAACACATGGACCGTGCCTCTCTCGTGTCAGTGGTGTGCCACGCTTTTGCGGGGCACTGGTTGGTGCTTTCACGCAACAAGTTTGCATCCAATGTCATTGAAAAGGTTGTGTGGCAACTTGACGGGGCAGCCCGCAGGGAACTGGTGAATGAGCTCGTTATGGACACCAGTAATCTCAGGCAGCTTATGCAGGACGGGTTCGGTAACTTTGTTCTACAGGCTATCATTGACTCTTCCAACAGTGGAGAGGAGTTTCGCGAGATATCCAGCCGTGTGAAGCCGCTGCTGCACACGAGCCCGTACGGCCACAAGATTGGGGACAGACTGCATGGGGGGTATGCCCGTTCGCTGCGGGTAGCACCCGGCCCGCAAGTCGGTGGTAGTGCGGCTTCACTGGTAGACGAATGAGGCGAAAAAGGAGAAGAGGGGACAATAGAAGGAAAAATACACGCCCACACGCGTGTGCGACAAAGGCAAAGAGGAAGAATATAATTTGGATCAGCATTTGCAAGGCTGGGCTTCCCCACCCCCACCCCACCCCCACCCCCCTCGGTGTTATCTTTTTCTTTCTCTATCACTTACCGCTACGTTTTTTTTCGTTTTTTGCTTGTCGTTGACACTTGCCGCAGCGCCACACACGCACACACAGCCTATGTTTTTGTTTTTTGCTCGCCTTTACGATGATAGATTAATTAGAGTTTTCTCATATGCTGTGGTGCGCATGCACCGGGTGCGTAGAGGCGTGGGAGTGGGATACATCAAGGTACCCGTTTTACTTCTGACCGCGCTTTTGTTTTTATTTTTTTATTTTGTGAGAATTGAGAGAATGAAAAACCACTAGAAGGAGGAATGCTGTTTTTTCTTTTTCTTTTTTTTGTTTTCCCTCCCTTTTTCCTCCGCGCTTTGCTGTTGCGCAGTCTATAATAATTATTATTATTATTATTTGGGAGGGATGGGGGGGGGGGGTGTGAGTGCAGATGGCGCATGTTTGTCACCAGCGTTGTCGGAAGGGTGCGCTTTGTGTGGCTTTCCTTTTTATGTTGCCAGTCACGTGGGATATGCTTCTTGTTTTCCTTTTGAATTTCTCTTTGCATCTTCCGAGCGCTATGGACGGCAACGTAACGTGCAGCTGGCGGCAGCGCCACGACTGCCAACCTCTACCCCTCATGATCTGCAGCGATGCGGAAGCTGCACGTGCGCATGCGGAGGCCGCCGCTGCCGCGAGGGCGGATGGCAGTGCAGCAACGACAGCAGTGGTGCTTGACGACGCAAACAAGGCAGCGGTGGCCCCATGGGTGGAAGTGCAGTTGCAACAGCGTCTGCGGCATCTCGTTGTCGTGAGCAACGCGCGTGTGCTGGAGCTACATGTTGGCGAAACCGTCATTCATACGCATGAAGGGACTGTCGTTGCAGCAGGTTTGTTCCTTCACGACGCCGAGTGTGACGTGGTCGCTGGACAGACGCTTAAGCTGAAGTTTTTTGCACGAAAGACAAAGCAAATTATTGATCTCTTGTCTGTCTGCCTTGTGGTGGACACGGCGGCACTGGTCGACGACAGTAGGGGTGATGGTGCCGCGTCTACAGTTGAAGCACGACTGCAACGATTGGAACTGCTGTTGCATATGTCAATGGAGTCAGTGGTGCTGCGGCTGAGAGACGTGGAGGCACGACTTAGGGCCTTGGAGCTTCAAGCGGGTGAGGGGCGCCGATGACACTGATGATGCTGGTAATGGTGGTTCATGCCTCGCTGTGCAATGCGTGGGTGTGTACCCTTCGCTGCCGTGCGTGCACTGTACTTCTCTATACGTGTATGCCGTGAGTCTCCTCCCTCTATTTTTTTTTCTTTATTGCTACTGGCCATCAGTATCTCAGTAAAGGGGAAAAAGTGTGAAACGTCCCCCCTCCCTCCCCCTTTTTTGTTATTGCCAGAGCTGAAATTACCAAAGAAATGCGGCTTGTACCACTGCCGCCACACCTGGCCGGACGCTCTTTTCACGCGCAGCATCGGACACCCGTCATACCACAGCTGCCTCTGGGGGACACGTCTCCGGAGTCAACGACCGGCGTGCTGGTGGGTTACCTTCTGCACCGCCACCCGGTGGTGAAGCACACACTGCACCCGCTCGAGACGGAGATGAGTTTCTTGCTGGAACGCGAGCACCAGCGGTATTGTAGACACGAGGCGTCGGAGTCCGCCACGCACTTCATGGGCCAACGGGGGCTCTCCATCGACATCATGAACCGCACTGACCCGCAAGAGACAAAAAGCAACTTTTTTGGTCTGGACCTCTATCAGGATGCCATGCGGGTAGTGCTGCGACGTTACAAACCAGAGAAGCGAGTGACGCCCCACGATCTATGGAATCCCGCAGAGCTCGGGGACGGCGGCCCTCCCTCCCGTCATTCGATTCATCGCAAGTTAGACGACTACCTTTACCTCATCGTGCAGGAAGCAGCAAGCGGCAAGTGGACGGTGCCGCAGACCCTCCTCAAGGCACGGGAAACACTTCGCATGGGCGTAGCCAGGGCGATGGCGCAGCACAACAGCGATGCCTTGGATAGTTACGTTTGGTCAAATGCGCCGCAGGCGACGGTGCTGAACACCGTTGAAAACACTCGCCTCTTTATATATGCGGCAACGTATCTGATGGGACGGCCCAAATTCTCCGAATTTGAGCCGGTGCTGAAGGACCACGCGTGGGTAACACGGCACGAGATGCTTCAATACAAACAGGACTTTCACAGTACCGATCTACTCGAGGCTCTGCTTGACATTTCTGCTGATAGCACCTTTGAGGGGTGACGACAATACAGTTTCACTACGTGAATGCACGACCCGGCGCCTGCAAGCACCATGTGACAAATATTTTCCCACACCCTTTTCTGTCTTATTACTTTTGTTCCTCTGTTTTAACTTTTTTTTGTTTTTCATTAACCTCTCTTGCTATTGTTTACACATTGTTATTCTGACCAAAAATGTAGTTTACTCATCCCTGTTATATTCCACAATAAATCAATTTCAATGTCTGAGATTCTTCGGCAGCGTCTCGAGCGCTTTATGCGGAGGCACAATCCGGAGAAGCTTGGCATGATTGACGCCATTCTGCAGGCCTACAGTGGACGGGAGGAGCAGATGTTTGAGGCGCTTGTGAAGAAGTATGGCCCGGAGCCTCCATGGGAGGAGTTGTGTGTTGGAAAACAACAAAAGTTCCAGCGGCTTGGAATTGAGGGGGCAGGGATTTTCTGCTCCGAAAGCCCACCAACAAAAAAAGTTATTGAAAGGATCTTGTGCGTGGCTGAGGCTTCGTACGAAGACGTGCTTTTGGCATTGTCACGTGAGAAGCCTGAGTTGTTTGTCGCAGAGAATGGACCGCCACCAGTTGTTGTTACCTCGGCGAATTCAGCAGAGTCTCAGGGAGAGCCTTCTTCCTCATTGTTGCAAACCACTTTATTCAGGGCACGCTTGACACGGTTTTTTACGATGTACGCTCCGGAGAAGCTGAGTGGTGTGGATACGCTTATTGAGGCTGCAGGGACGGAGGGTAGGACTAGGCTTATCAACAGTCTTGTTGCTACATATGGGCCGGAGCCAACAGAGGTTGGCGAGATAGTGGACAACCGAAGCAGTGGGGAGGAAAAACTGCCGATAGGTTTTGAAGCTGGCCTGGGTGTCGATAACAACAGCCTTGGCGAACGACAACGGCTCTCTAATTGGCTCATTTCCCAAGGGAAAGATGCGGAGCATATGTGTTACAGCCTTATCTCTGAGGATCAGCTACTACCTTTTGTGCGGGTAACGTTTGGGGACTACGAGAACAGAGTGTGCCGCTTCTTTGTGCGATACGATCCAACACGTTTGCGGGAGGTGCCGCAGCTGCTTGCAGACTATCTTGGACGTGAGGAGGAAATTATTGAACGGCTCACGCGAGAGTTGGGTCCTGAACCGGAGAGGTCAGCCCCAACGGTGTTAACACGCCTCGTCAGCCGCCGTCGTATCGAAGCTGACCGAAGCCGCATTGATGAGGAGGCATGGAGCGATGACTGTGAGAATAATGATGACGGTGATGGGAAGGTGGAGGTGACGGAGTGTCCCCCAAGGAGCCTTGTGGACGCCCACGCGCTTATCGAGGCGTATGAGGCAAATGAGCCAGGCGACTTTAGCGGTGACGAGGCGGCGGCGTACCCGCGGGACGAGGAGTATTGGTATCGCCTCTTTGTGCGTTCCTGCGAAGACGCCGCACCCAGTGATAACGACAGTGACGGCAAAGACAAGGATGACTTTTTGGGTGGGAGGCGTGCCACTTCAACGAGCAAGGAAGTGACGGCAGCTTCCGCAGCACCATCACCACCAGCAGTTGCGGAAGAAGAGTCTTTCGACTCCCCACCGCAAGCATCACCTCAATTACGCATAAAGAGTGGAGACGAGCCACGAGTTCGGGTAACGCTTGGCAACAAATTCGGGCAAGCGATCGGTACGCTCTGCAACGCTTGCGGGGAGAACGTCACGGAGTCCTTCGAGGCGCTCTGGCAGCCGGTGGGCCCGCAGTATCTGCAACTATTGTCAGAGACCGTGGTGAAGGACGGATACTTGGAGAAGCTCTCCCCCGACAGCCGCCGCATGGGTCTGAAGTGGCAGAAGCGGTACTTCCGTGTGAACGACAAGGGGATGCACTACTATGAGACGAACTCCCCCAGTGAAAAACCGAAGGGGTACAAGGTTTTTACAAGGAATAGCAGGGTTCTGGGGAATATTGCTGCCTCCGCACACCCAAAGTGCACAGATGACCGATACCACTACTTTGCTGTTACTGTGGGTGAATCAAACGACGCGTTTTACCTCCGCACCCGAAGCGAGGAAGAAAGGTGTCAATGGGCGTCGTTTCTGCAGCTTGCCTTGCTGCGGATGCGGTTGACAACTGTGGGCCATGATCAGAACCCAAGCCGCTGGCGTGCGCGGATGGCGGGGGTGAAGGAGGCTGACATTGCCCTCATCGACTTGGTGCATGTCTCCGCGACAGTGCTGCGGGAGCTGGGGCGAAAACACGAGGAGCTGCAGAAGCGTGTCAGCTCGGAGCGGGTACAGCGCGAGTTGATGGAGATGCAGGTGCTGGGAATGCAGAAGCAACAGGAGTTTCTTATACAGCAGATTCAGGAGGCAAAGGAACAAACGCGCCTTGGCGAGCACGAGGCTGACGTCAGGTGCCGTGAGTTAGCAGAGCGGGCGGCATCCATCAAGCAACGGCGACTGGACATGAAAGACAACCTTGAAGAAACGCAACGCAGCGTTGACAGCATTACTCAGTCAGTCATCAAGCAGCAGCGCGAAATAGCTGACATGGAAAGCGAGTGCGGTGCCCGTGAGGCAAAGCTCCGGCGTGTCTACAGCAAATGGCAGCGCTGTGTGGAGCGGCAAGGAGCCGAGAAGGGCGGTAAGTACCGCAACGGTAGAAGCCAGTGACACCATTATCGATTTATATCAAGTGAACTTCCGTAGTTGTATGTATATTCTGATATTTGTTATTATCGTTTCGGAAATTCACGCGCAGTTGTGGTGAAGAATTATTATTATTATTATTATTTTGTTGTTTCTGTGTTGTTTTTTCTTTTTCCTTGCCTCTTTAAACTGCTTGTTTGACGGTGTATTTACCCACTTGTACACCCTTTTTATCTCTCTCACACACACGCATACATTGTGTCTCTGCGTTTGTCGTCGCACACGTCTGTGCGTAACTGTTGGACTGGCGATGAGTACACCCCCATTGTAACAGCCAACCACTGCGTCAAAAGATAAACACGATATCAAGGTCAGCAACAACAACTGCTTTTATCAGGGGCAGCAGATAAAGTCACTGAGGCCCATCCCTCCACTGCGCCATGAGCAAGGCGAAGCTGAAGTTTAGCGTAGAAGGGAAAACGGTGGTCTACGATGGACGGCCAGAGACCCGCGCGAAGGATTTGCTTGAGATCCTCGTCAAGATGAAAGTCAACTCCGCTGTCGCGGTCAAGGCATTCCGTGAAAACATTGAGGATGCCGCGAGATACACCGACGAAGACATTCAGCAGCTGTTTGGCGACGCCCAACAGGCCTATGAGGAGAAGAAGAGGCGCAAGATGAGCATCCCCGCCAAGGAAGAGAAGCTGAGGGAGAAACTGGAGAAGATAACGCTGTACTTCAAAGGAAAGCAGTTCTCATACATGGGTCTGCCAAGCACCAAAGAGTACGCTGTGATTGAGCTGCTTATAAAGCAGAATGCGGCACGAGAGTTGGTGATAGAGACGTTTCGCAAGAATCTGCCGGAGTCTTCTGCCAGTGACGAAGATATTTTTTCGATGTTCACAGAGGCGGTAGCGGCAAAGAACCTGCGAAAGAGTGGCACAAAGAAAGATACCGCCGCGGAGAGGACCGCGGAGTCTTCGACACTGTCAGCCGAGCTACCACCGCAGGAACAGGAACAAGAACAGCAGCAGCAGCAGCAGCAGCAGCAGCAGCACGGAGTGAGGGTCTCTTCCACCGCTGGGGTGGGTGCGATTGACGAAATTACGGGCATGTCCGTGGAGGAGCGTGACACCATCAGCAACTTCATTAAGCAGGTGCTTGAACAGCCTGAAATGGATCTCACGGCGCATATGCGCGAGGAAATGACGACGCTTGCCACACCGGTCACGATAGCACGAAACCCTAGCGATGGCGCCGAAGATGACTCATTACTTCTGACGACGCGCACAACACGGGGGAAGTTGGCCGTCTACTGCCAAGAGGAGAAGAGTACAGCAAACAAGGTTCTTTACATTTCCCCTAACACAACATATGAGGAGTTTTGTACGATGCTGGAAAAGAAGTTTGGACGTAAGATGGCCACGTCGTTCTACGAAGGGGAAGATTTGATTGACATGGACGACGATGATGTGTTTTGCATGTTCCTTGAGATGAGCCAGAGCCAAGCGCAGGAGGGCAAACGCATGAAACTCATCTGTGTTCCACCAGAGACGCGGAAGAGAGCGTCAGACGACAAACTGACAGACATGAAGGCCGGTGATGTATTCAAGATCAAGGCGTTTTCCTCTGGCAAGCTGGAGGTCTGCGAGGAAAAGTCCTACACGGGGCACACCTCTGCTGTTTACTGCTGCTCCTTCTCCTCAAAAGGGGATCGATTTTGTACCGCCAGCCGTGACCGCTCAGTGCGTCTGTGGAACACTCTGACGGGGTGCTCGTCCGTTATGAAGGGAGGTCACAATGGATTTGTGCTTTCGTGTGATTTTTCACCGCGTGGAAACCGCATCGTTTCCTCTTCTGATGACCGCACGATCAAGGTGTGGAACACGGCTACCAGCGCCAAGGTGTACACTCTCAAGGGGCACGACGACAAGGTCTACTGTGTGCAGTACAACTCCACAGGCGACTACATCGTCTCTGCGTCTTGTGACCATACGGTGAGAATTTGGAACGCCGACTCTGGTGCCAAGATGGCAACGCTGCGGAGCCACACCCTCGCTGTCTTTTCGTGCTGCTTCAGCAACACCGACTGTGGCAGATATGTTGTCTCTGGCGGAGACGACCGCCTGATAAAGGTATGGAACTGGGCCAAGGATGATGAGTACTGTTCCATGACCGGCCACACAGACACCGTTTGGTCCTGCAAGTTTTCACACAACGACACCCGCATTGTTACCGCTTCGATGAACCATGAACTGCGGGTGTGGGACTGGAAAAGCAAGAGCTGCATTCTCTTCTGGACGGGCCATCAGGTGCCCATTCATCAGGCCATCTTCTCCACCAACGACAAGTACATCTACTCCTGCGCCAGGGACTGGACCGTCATGGTGTGGGATGCCGTGACGGGAGAGCACTTGGAGACAATTACGGGGCACCACAGCACTGTCTATCACATGGACGTTGCACGGAACAAATTGCTTACCTCCTCTCTGGACGACACACTCAAGCTGTGGACTATCAATGAGAAAGAGTGAAGCAGCACAGGCAGTTCCTATTCTTCTCTTCCCCCTCCCTAGGTTTTTCAGTTGGCAAGTTTCATCATTATTTTTGCTGCCTGTGGTGTAGCTACCCTTTCGCGCGACGAAGTTGTGGAGTTTTACACCCAGGCGTGCGTACGTTATATGAACATGCGGTGGTTGAGTGCCATGGGCAGTAGGGATATGCGCATTGTGGTTTGCACGTGTGGGAAGACCAACTGGCGACCCACGTGTTCCATCTTAGAAGTAAATGGAGGACAAGGCTTTTGAAAACACACCCAAAGGCAAGAGGATCATGTTTTTTTTCCCCCTTAAGTGAACGATTGTATTATTTCCTTTAAAAATGCGTATATATATATATATATATATATATATATATGCATAAGCCTTTGCGTGGAGAACATGTTTCTAGAAAGCTGTGCTCTCCATGGGTGGAGCCAGCGAGGCGGATTCTAGAAATAAATGTAAGAATGTATGACTGCAATACGGAATACAGTGTTATATACAAAACGACTGCAAAGAAAAATTATGAGGCATGCAAACATATTAGATGCCAAGGGTTCAATGCATACATCGCATGGTTAAAGGATAAATACATAGCTGTTGGTAGGCTCTAACTGTTTTCTTCACGCATACTCTCTTTGTGCTGCTTCCCTCGCAACCCTTTAGTTCTGCACACCTACATACATACATGTATATGTAATGATATCTTCAATCCACCTTTATTGTCATCCTTTGCTTTTGAAGGCTTTGAGTGGGCAACAGTTCTAAGCCTTACAAGGACATGATTGCTAAGGTGTGCGTCTCCTGTAGTCTCTACGGCAGTGGTGCGAGCCAACAACATACGGGTGCAACCTCAAGGCCACAGAGGTGTCTGTCGGGCAGTGGTCTTTCATGGGCGGCCTTGTGTTTTGGAACGGGCGGGGCAGGTGAAAGATGGAGATGTTTGTCCTACAGAAGTTTTGTACTCGGGTCCTCTCTTGGGCCGGGACGGTGGTAATGTGCGCCTCTGAAGGTGGTGCGGCCCTTGCTGGCCGCGGAGCCGGTGGCGAGAACGCCAACATAAGGGTATTCTGTCTTGGTGGTGGTGAAGTACGTGTGTGTCTGTTTCTGGGCCTCCTTCTCCAGGGAATTGGGCCGAATTCATCAGTTGATGATGCATTATTTTCGCATGCGCGAGTTAGGACTTTGGGTTGCTTCCGAAACACTGTCGCCGTCGTCTGTACCCATTCACGTCTGCCAACCTACAACCAGCTGAAGGGGAAAAACAACAACATCTTCACTAAACACCCCACCACCAGACCACAAACTCCCCACTTTTCGACAGAGACGTGGATTGGTTGTTTCTCCGTCCAGAATCGCCCGACTTCTATGAATTTATCACTCCCGCATCCGCGTGAACAACAGCAGGCGTCCGCAGGGGAGGTGCGATCGCACCTCCTGCAGGATGAGGGATATGGCGGCTGACGTGTCAAGCCGCTTCTCCGCATCTGCATGTACGACCTTCATCCACTCCCGACTCTGCGGGTGCGGAGCGCCGTTTTGTGGTGCTCACAACGGCCCGAAATGGAGGGTGTTGTTGGCTGCCCAGACTCCGTACTCGCCGATTGTGTTCCGCAGACGCCGCGTTGCCGCCTGCAGAGGGGTGTCTCCGATTTGGTTCTTGGGCTGGGATGCTCGGCCGGCGTACGTCGCTGTGGCATCGGTCAGGGCGCGCATTTGACAGTCAATGGCAAGGGTGTCGGAACGCTTCTTCGAGGCCCCCGTTAAATGTGGCTGCGTAACGCACGTGAACCTGCAGATGCACAACAGGTTTGCCAGCGAGCAACTCAACGTTTCGTGGCGGATGGCGCAAGGGCTCGCGTGTAGCCGTGCCTGTGCGACGCGCCCCCGTCACACCCGCGGCGCCGTTGGCCTTCCAGAAGCACACACATTACCAAACGCTCCTCGAGGGGGAAATCACACAACTGCGGTCATCCAAACCGACTTCTGTATCGGTGAGGGGTGCAACTGCGCAGAGCGCCTCGTTGGCGACGAAAATCAGGCCATCGGGGTTCGTAATAAACGTGGTGGTGTGGTCGCGATTCTTTTCGTCAAGCTTGGCGGCGCGTTCCTTCTGTGCGTCCTTCATATTGGCGCAGCCGTGCGTAGACATGGCGAGCTGCGCCCGTCTCTTTCGACCCTACCCTCCGAGTCGCACTGGTAGGACCGCGGCGTCCCTGGCGGTGTTGTCGATCGGAGTGCCGAGCAGCTCGCCCAAGCCCCCTTCAACCCTGTCATCAAACTGTTCGGCGTACCGCCCTAGCACACGTCGTGTGCGCTACCGATGCGCTTTTAAGGGTTATTATTGGAGCCGTTGTCGGCAGCAAGCGGGGAGAAACGTATTTCACAGCAGCGAGGGCGCAGCGAACAAGGCGAGATGATTCTCGAAGGCATGTGGCGGTCGGACGTCGGGCGAAACCACGTTTCGGAGGCCCCGGGCAAAAGTGGTAGATTTCCCGCCCAACAGATGCACATACCGGCGTGTAGCGACATCCCTCGCACTGGCGATTCATCAGCGGGGCTTTTCCAGTTGTGCGTGATGTGGAATTGAGACTGGGCCCGGAATTGTGGGTCGCTCAGTGAGGCGCTGGCGGGCCACGGTGCGAGAAGCTGCCAATAATGGGTGTAGGGGCGGAGGAGGAACGTCCTTCGGCGCACACTCCATTAGAGGAGACGTGCTTTACTGCGAAGGAATGGGAGTGATTTTCTTAGCAGGCCTGCAGTCATTTGGGCGGAAGCCGTAAGAGTGGCTGGAGGTGCACTTGCGGTGGTGCCTGCGGCGCAGGCGGCTGTATGCCCGCAGTGCGGCTTCGCGGCGACTGATGAGAAAACACATCGCGGGCACTTGTCGGCGGAAGTTGCGATCGGGCGGCTCCCCGGCACTGGGCGGAGCCTGGGGAGCTCTGAGGGCACCGCGCGCAAAAAAAAAACCAGTGCCCTCGACAGCGCCCAGGCCGCCGTTGCGGGAGCGAGTCAATCAGGGCGCCCCCGGCCTCAGGTGCCGGAAGTTTGGAAAGCGTAGCGGAACGCGGCACCCCCTGCGCCGAGGCACCTGTGCGCTGCGACGCTCAACGTGCCGGGGAGGTCCTGTTGAAGGCCGGGTTCTGCGCTGGGCGATGCGGCCGTCTGCGGCGCTTGCGCTGGCCTGCGCGCATGGTCGTGGGGAGCGCCCTGGCTGCGCTCGGCCCGGCCCTCTGCCCCCCCACGGCAATTGCAGCGGCCTCTTGCAATTTCGTTGTTGCTGGGGGCCCAGAGCATATTAAATGCCCCCATTGCCTGCGGGCGCATCACGTGCTGGGTGGTTGTGCGTGGTGTGGTGG